TATGAGTTTATTAAGCGCAAGAGAAAACATTAAAGTTTGAAACATGTCCAGCATCATTACTTACAGAAGAGCAACAATACATTAGGAATTTTTACATTCCCTAGCCCTACCCACATTTGTTGTTACAGATCAAATAAAATAGATTTAGTTTATGTTATTTAATTTTGTATGAAAACCTAAGTATTCAGTATGGCTAGGAACAGGAGACCACACTTTCCTCAGGATAGAAGTCCTTGTTGAAAAGGACTTCAAATCATTCTTATTACTGGCAAACCAGTCTCAGTTTTTCACTGACTTCCATGCATTCTTCAAGTAAAGGCTTGGGAGAAAAGGAGAGCTACTGACTTCTGTTGAGGTAAAACTGGTTCTGGTTTTAGTAGTTGAGTAGTTGAGTTAACATTCTTGCACCAGCTCTATTCACAATCTTTTTCAGCATGATGCTCCAAAGGGCCACAGCAGACCTTGATGATCAGGACGGTATCTACATTCGATACCGTACTGATGGAAGCCTATTCAACCTAAGGTGACTGAAGGCCCACATTAAGACCTTAAACCATCTTGTCCAGGAGCTGCTTTATGCTGATGACGCCACCCTTGTTGCCCACACAGAAGCAGCTCTAGATGCATTTAACATCCTGCTTTGCAGACCCTGCTGAGCTCTTTGGGTTGGAAGTCAGCTTGAAGAAGACAGAAGTTCTCTATCAACCGGCACCTCAGGAAGTCTTCCTTCATCCCCATATCACCATTGGCCAATCAGAGCTCAAATCAGTCCAGCAGTTTAATTACCTAGGTAGCCTCATCTCCTCAGATGGTAAGATTGATGGAGAGATAGACAACAGGTTAGGAAAGGCATATAGTGCCTTTGGAAAGCTTCATAAAAGAGTTTTGTGAAATAAACACCTGAAGAAAAGTACCAAGATCAGTGTTTACAGAGCCATAGTGCTGTCTACTCTCTTATATGGATCTGAATCATGGATCATCTACCCCCACCACCTGCATCTCCTAGAAAGCTTCCATCAACACTATCTCTGTACAATCCTAAACATCCACTGGTCAGATTATGTGACCAATACATCTGTTCTAGAACAAGCAGTAGCCACAAGTATTGAGGCCATGTTGCTGAGAACACAGCTGCGTTGGGCAGGGCACGTCTCCAGGATGAAGGACCACCACCTCCCTAAGATCTTGCTTTACTGTGAACTTGCCACCAGCTGCCGCAAGAGAGGAGCCCCGAAGAAAAGATACAAGGACTCCCTGAAGCAACATCTCAACCTTGGCTATATTGACCAACATAACTGGTCTACTCTGGCTTCCAATCGGGAGGCCTGGAGACACACCATCTATGACGCTGCTGCTTCCATTGAGAACGCACACAGGATCACTCTTGAGGAGAAAAGAATGCAGAAAGAATCGTGCCTTGTAGAATTTACCACCTAAGGAGTCTTTCTACTGCGCCTTTTGCAATCGGATGTGTCTATCTCGTATTGGCCTTATTAGCCACCAACGTGCTTGTAACAAATGTGGATAGAGCCTTTCCCAAATGATGAGTTAACATGACTTATATTACTACAAACTAGTGATCAAGTAACCAAAGAATTAGATTCCACTGTGTTAGCAGAATAAGAAACACAGAATGGCACAAATTCATTGCCTTATGTTTTCTTTCCACACTTCTTTCCTCCTTCACATCTGTGGCATGGTTTGGATGAAGACAAAGTAGAGTAGAACACTGTCTTGTGGGAACTTTAGGTCAAAAGAGAATTTACCTGTACAGGGGCAATTCTTAATTTCTCATTTACTAGTATAATCTAGTCCTTTCAAATTATCAGATATCATTTAGTTCACAGAAGTTTAGGTGAAACAACATCAGAGTTTTCACCAGGATAGATGCAAATTATAGGATGTTTAATACTAACTTGGTGCTGGCATTTCCTTTTGTTTAATTTTTTTATTCAAATTTTCAGAATAAAACTTGTGTGGGACTACAAAAATTTTGTCCTATCAATAAGGGCTAGTCAGTGGCATTTTCAGCATCTCTACATTACAAACTACAGAAATCTGAACTAGATTTTCACAGGTTTACTCAGACATGCAGGAGTAAAGTAGCTGCAATAGCACAAAGTTCATTTGAAGTGAAATCTAATCTACTGAAAAACTGCCTCAGAAGAAGGATAATTTAGCCTCTGTAGTATTCCCTGCTAGCATGCCTAGACAGCTCCCAGTGCCATGCAAATTAACTTAAAAATGGCTCACTAGAGGTATCTATGCACTGTATTCTTCAGGAGCAGTATACTAGTAGCAATATGCAAAAAACACTTTCCTGAATAAAAATGGATATACACAGTGACTTGAGATAGCCTTGTACTTATGCTAAATGAGCATCCTCAAAAAGGACAAATCATGCATCTTTCCTGATGTGAATTCTAATTAAACATTAAAGCAGTTTGAAGGAAAGACTCTAAGTGAAACCTTACCATATTTAAAATTCATGTGTATGCCAAAAGCTTAATTTGATATAAGATATGCAACTATATGTAGACAGAAACACAATCTTTTTCCTATACATTTTTTTCTTCAATAAAAGTCTGGATTGTGAGAGTGAAGAGAAACTTCAGACAAATTTTCTATTGCAATCTTAGCTTTATATGCAGATTATTTGCTCTAGCAAAATACAGACTCTGTTACCACAGATTAGAATCAGAAACCAGGAATGACATAAAATATACTAGAAACCTATGGAAGACTGGGTCTTCAATTGATGAGACGGAGTAGAGATCGAAACTGAAAGCCATTTTCTACTCCAATGCCCAAAATAAAATAGCAGAAGAAAGACACTTCCACAAAATATTACCAGTAATAAGAGTTCTCATACAAAGAAGAAAACAGGTGTAGAAGAATTAGGCTAAGTTTTAGAAAAATTATAGCTGGCAGAAAAATAACTGAAAGACATTTCAAGCAGCTCTGGGTTTGGAAATAAAAAGTAATTCCAAATGTACACGACAAAGAGTTGTACATATTTTCTTGAAATTCATCTTATTCAGATATTGATTTGTTCACTTGTTTACTGGTTGTTCTGTTTAGCCATGTCAAATATCCAGGCATGAAAGTATGATGAATTATAATAATGGTGATGAGACTGCAAATAAATTACCTTAAATACATTAAAATGAATCCTTAATTAAAGCTAAATACCTAAGCATATGTAATGGTAAGGGGTTAATATCTACACATATACTTGAGTGATTTCCTGACAACTGGGTTTTTTTCAGAAGATGTAGGTATTATAGTTCAGTTTCACCTTTGTGATTCATCATAAGTGATTATCAGGTGTTCATTGAAGTTTTCAGCTTCTTCACCTTTGTTCCTGAACTTGGCTGTTAAATTTCACATATATGTATTAATACAGAAAATAATTTTGGAAACTTTTATTTACAAATAGTTAATATCCGTTCTAGAAAGATGTCTATTTTCTCACAGTGATGTTACAATATTAATATTATACTAATCTTTTTATATAGAATATTTACATTTTAGGGTACTTATTGTGTGAAAAATGTTTGGTTGGACAAGTAGATTAAGGAGACAAGAACATATCTTACTCTCTGTATATGTATTGTAACTGAACTATTTTATGCCAAAAGGAAGTAATTTAACGTATTCTGGCATATATGAACGCACAGGAAAATAAATATAAAGTGTCTAGTGATTTTAGAAAAGACAATATTAATTGAAAGAAGGGACAGGAGACTGTGTATAAGGGTCTAAAGGAACAAAGGTAGGTTATTTTTTATTTTGTGTAAGGTCTAGTGTAGTTGATTGTTCGAGATAGTCTGCCCGTAAAAAAGAACAATATCTAATGAGGATGGATGTATCACCTAAGCATGTAAGAAATGGCTGCAGCAAGAAGAGAATTGTGATGCATGTGGAGGGTTCTTTTTTCTTCAGGTCCCTCTTATATGATTGGCTTTGAAAACAGAGAAAATTTTTTCTACATTTGTTGAAATGACACAAAGGAAACAAATGTTAACCATATTTAAATGGTTTCCCTTTGGGAAAGTCAGAGATACAAGAGAAGTGCTAATTTCCATGCATGCTTTGTAAGAGACTGAGGTTTTCATCCTCTGTTGTGTGTTGGCATTATGTTGTTTATTTCCCAGTGATAGAAAGAACTGTGAACATGGTGCAAAATAAGGAACTGTTGTTAGAGTGTGTCTATTCACATGGAATGCTCATTAATCTTATACTGTTCAGACAAGACATATCTTTTTGTGCTTTTAAATTTTGTGCCATGCTTAGGCATCAAGAGCTATGTTGATTTGTAACAGACTAAAATTCATAGTTGTTCTTAATCATATTCATTTCTGTTACCACCAAGGCCACTGTATTAATTTCTGATTAATAGAATTAATGGAATTAGATTAATAGAATTAATTTCTGATGCCATCCCACATTCAAGATTAATTTATTGCATGTACACTTAATAGTTTAAAATAACATGTATTATAAGGTTTGGGCACTTTAAGAGTTGAAAACAGCTGCAAAAAGAAATTAAAAGGTCAAAAGTTTTAGTCAGTTTCCCATCAATTTTTTTTAGTTCTATGTCCTTTTTCTCATTTCATTTATCCTTGTTCAACTTCTCAAAATTGATCAACACTTTTCTCAACAACTATTCCATCCTCCGCTACATCACTCTCCTTTAGAACATGACTTGAGCTTTAGATGAGAACAAAAAGATGAAAGATTGAAATCTTCCCAGGGTCAAAGCCTGGGATATTTGAAATCATAAGAGTTTTCCATATATGATGCAGTGACTTATTGACTCTGCTTCTTTCACCATAGAATTAAATGCCTTCCTTTCCTCCTGACTCAATACCTCTCTGGATCTAACTGGAACAACCGTAAAATAACTTTTCTTCTTGTGTCTTAGTCAAAACCCTGACACATCAGCCCAACAGAATGGGTCTGGAGAAAAAAATGCTTATTCTCAAATCCCAAGGTACCTGATGAAAAGAGGTTTCTCCAAGGTGGATTGCTCCACCTTGGGCTCCAAGGAAGTCACAGGAATCATGATCTTCAAAATGATTCTGGACTATGGAATATTTTGAGTCCACTCCTTCAATTAATCATGTGAGAGAAAGGAAAAAAAGAAGAGAGAAAAAAAATGCAGACATTAGTTTCCATTAATTGCAATATGTAAGACATATTTCTTTCTTTATTTTCTGATAAGATCCTGTTACTCTTGTGTTTTGGACAGCTACCATTCATTCTACATATTCTTTAAAGTATTTAGCACAATGAAGCTTCATTTAGTCCAAACCATCATTACTATAAACAAAATTAACGAAAACAGTAAGTGAATATTGCTCAAGAACTTTAAATGTGTTTTTTTGGTTGGGCTCATTCTCATGAGTCCATTCTTTATGACCGTTATCTGCAAGTAATTCTTCTTACAAAGGAAAGGCCTACAGTTGAAAATTATTCAGATGCCAATTGTGAAAAATTAATTCATAGCCTATAATTATGATGATAATGACACCATGAGTAATCATAAATCACCATTATGACTGCATGATCACTGATTATTGTAGCACCGGGCTTTTGCTTAGTACCCAGTAATATTTTAGGAGCTACATGGCAAACTGAAAACATTGGCAAAGTAAACTTTACTGCAATGAGGCTACTAATTTACAATGTAATGTTTCTTGAAATATTATGTTTTCTTGTTTATCTGTTTTTCCTATAAAAGTGTAGTCACATAGGCTGCTTGTGAATAACTCACTCTAAATTATTCAAATATGATAGCATCATACATCCTAAGACGGAACTAATTACAAGGATGAGCTGGAGTCTTCAATAATCTGGAATATTGTTTTTTAATCTAATTCTGCTTCTGAAATAATTACTCAGAATCAATCACTGTCAGGATTATAGCAATAATCAAATTGGAGTTAGAAGCTGTTGATAATATCTCAGAGTCCAATTTCTCCCCACAATAAGGAGATCAAATCAATCCAGCAACTGAGAATTACATTAGGACTATTCTAAATACAGTTTGCATGCATCATTTTACATTTTTTGATCTTGGGTTTATTTTCACTTTATTTGGAATAAATATGTCCATGCCAAACTTTAGACAGTATTTTAAAAATAAACCAAATTATTCTTAATTTATCTGAATAGTGACTTTCACTGCAAGAACTACAGCATTCTTTCCACTTCCAGTGCTGATTTATGATTCAAAAGGAGGACAACAAAATAGGTCCCAAATGTTTGTTTCTCCTTGACTCCTGAAAGAACACCAAGAAAGAAATCTGTCTGTTAAACCAGTGACTTGCTAAGTATGTAAATATATTTGATATTCTACTGTTACTAAACTTATAAAAACTATGTATTTAGTTATCTTTATTTTAAAAATTGCAATGAATATTCTGTCTTAAAAGGATATAAAAGCATTTATTTGGCTTTGAATTTAAACAAAAGGGAAGATTTGGACTGCATTTTCCAAGGAGAATAACAATTAAAGTATGAATTTGGAAGTAGTCCAACTTCAGAAGAAAAATAATTAAACTTAGTAAACAGAATTGTATTAATGACACCACCTTACTGAAATCAGGCTAGAAGATCTGTGTCATATTTTTTCTCTACTTTATTGGTTTGCTGGATTCAGAAGTTAATTCTTCAAGCTCTTTATGTGCTCTTCCAATGACTTTGTATCTTCCACTACCTTGTTCTTCTGCAAGAAATGAGTTAGCAATTCAGTGCTGCATTATATAGGATCTTGATAAGACAAAGTTATGGAGTCAATTGCAAATCTGCCTGAATTTTGTCAGCTTATTTTTTTGACCAGGGATATTACTGGCAATTTTGCTGACCTCTGCCTAAGTGAAGCATTTATTGTATGTTGTCTCCTCAACAAATGTTCTCTTTCCACATAGAAAAGAGGAGATAAAAAGAGATGGGAAGGAAAAGGGAAAACAAACAAAGTAAAGAATTGTTCCAAGAAAGAGAACAGAAGTAAAATATGTAGGAGCAGAGCAGAGCAGAAGCCCATATACGTGAAGAACAAAACTTAATTCTAGGAAAACAGAAAAAGATATGTATCTGTCAAGTATATAGGCACAAAAAATACACTGTTATGCCAGTTTTCACACTCTCAATGCAGTTGCTAGTAGGTATAGTAGCCCTATTATGCGCTTTAAAATCTTGTCAGGCATCTGACTCCCTTTTATGAAAGTAAACACTTCGAAAGTACTGTCTAATATCTTAATATAATTTTGAAATTTTTACATTCAAGAAGTCACAGAAAATTGCAAAATTATTCAGACCATATGTCAGTCCTATATTCTATAAAATTCTATTGATTGTTTTCCATCCAATTAGTATATTTTTCATCTGTATTTTAACACTTTTATGTAAATAATTTTGTCAACCTAACTAAAAATATACACTGAAATCACTTAATCAAAAGAAAACATCCTGTTTCTCTCAAACAAAACCAATTTTTTGATGAAACTTAAAAATTTCCCTTTACATTTAATTGTCCAGAAAAATTGTTGTATTCTTGATAATGCCTACAATTCACTTCCTCCAGACATGCTAGCAAAAAAAAAATATATATAACGAAGGTATATTTAAATTAATATATAAATATTAGTGTTATTATTAACGTAACTTTAATTTATATATACAAGATTCTAGAGTAATACATGTAATACTGTATGATGTTCTTACATTTTTAAGGAATATTAAATTGGAAATAAATTTCATTATATTTACCTAATTTTGATGCTATGTTATATGGGCAGAGGCACATAAAGGGAGAAATAGGGTTTTAATATAAAAAGAATTGGACTCTTAATATCTACCTAGTTATAAACCCTGACCTATTTGAAAGTCTGAGATGATGGTAAGTAAGGTAGAAGTTAGACTTTAGGCTTTCCAGCTTGTCTTCTGACATTCATTAATTATTAAGTCATATCACATTCATGAGAGAAATTTTATACCCCATATAAAACCATTACACATCTTTTCTCAAGGCAAATAGACTTTCACAGAGAGAAGGCTGAATGAATACACAAATGGCAGATGAATTCTTAGGGTTCTTTGAAAAAGTGTGTTTCTAAAAACAACAAATATAAAACCTCCAAAATTTACTGGGGAAATAGCGCGAGGCTGAAGACCAGTTTTTACATAATGGACATTACTCAAACTGGCAGAAGTGTCTTTAACTTCATAATATCTTTGGTGGCTAGTGCAAGCCAAATGCGAAAAAAATTCCCCACTGAAATCAATGAAAATTTTGTTGCAGTCCTCACAAGGGCAACAAGAAGCTCTGATGTTTGTCTTGTTTTTATTTCATTTGTCTCCTCTACTTTGTATGTGATCAAGGATTACTGGTAAAAATCTCAAAGTATATAAAATTTAATTCTCAGGTGTGGAATAACCAGGACTTTTTCTCTAGACCCCCCTCTCATTCTGGCTGGCATGACCTGCACTCACCAAGAACACAAGCAGAAACACAGGACTCAGGCACTTGTCCTGCTGCATCATGGCAGCAGTGATTCTGATATTCCTTTCATCCTGTAGTACTAACACCCTGTTACACTACTGTACCCACCCAAGATGTAGGCCATCTGAAGTCACTGAGGCAAAGGACTTTTTGATGACACCATAACAATGAATTGTGATGCCTGGTTCCACATGCCTTTTACAAGGCTAAACTGATGCCTTAACTCATCACCATGTCATCTTGATCTGCCTAACATACCCCTTTAAACAGCACCAGAGAGTCTTCAGCAGGACATATGCAACTTAGTTGTGTGTCTGCACCTTTCGTGTCTGTAGACCAGGGTCTGAGCCCTGACCCAGTCAGCATTTTTCACATAGAACAGAACCACATTCCCTGAAAGTACAACCCCCTAGGTAGCTGGAAACCACTTCCAGCTGACTACAGTCTCCCTGAGCTGATGTAAAGCAGCACGCTACCAGGAGGCTCTATGCTTTCTTATGCTGCTTCTTCACCACCCTCTTACAAAGCAGAAAATTGAAGGAGAGCAAAGAATGATCAGAGCCTGGTTTAACCCTGTTTCCTGTCTCAGGAGGTTCACTGAAGCACACCTGGGAAGGCAGAGAGGCAACAGTACTGCTTGGCTCAGTGAGTCTAATTGTCCGCTCTGGGAAGTTAGGCTAAAACAGTAAGAAGAAAGTTATTCAATTCCCACTTTAAGTGTCATCATCTTGTGTCTTAATTCTCAGAAAATAAGTGTTGTTACTGAGCCAAGCCAGGAATTCATCACATATTTAAAGCAACAGCATCCAAAATGCCAATTCGTAAGTCAAATTATGTTTCTATGGTTTTTGTTTTCTTTAATCACGGCACTTCAGCCATTTTTTCTATCTCAGGTGACATTGGAAAGGTTTTATATCAGTCCAAGAGAGATAAACATCTCTCTGATGACACTATAGGTTTGAAACATAGCTTTACCCTCTTAAGTCAGAGCAAAGTTGGAGCTATATCCAAATTAGGAACATTTTGAAGATAACAAATCATAGCCCAAGGCCCAGTTTCTGCAATGGGTAGGACTTAATCAGGCAGCTGCTTCTGCTGACATCACACATTGTCCTTAATGTGTGGGGTTAGACATTATGGCCAGGTACAAATTACAAAGACAGGAGGGAAAAAACTGCCTCAACAGTCATTGTTTCCTTAGAGCTTCTGTTTACTCCTTGAGTAGTACAGCTGGTCAAACAGAATTTCCTATAAACAATTTGGTCTAGTTGTCTCCTCAAATTGGGATAATATAAAATAAAACAAAAGGCAAATTCCTCCCCTCATAAATATTCCAATATATGTTCACTTCAAACTAATACTGTTTCAGTAAGGCACCAACATTCTCTTCGTGTTCAACTTATCGCTTTCTGTTGTATTGTAGCTGACATTAGAAAAGAATTCACAGTAGAATTGTCATATAATAAACCAATAGGATTGCTCTAGCCACATAAAACCAAAAGATTTTAATTATTTTCTGGAAAAAGGACCAGTGGAATTGATGTAGATATGTCAATTTTATTGAATGCATGAATATTTTCCCATTGTGAAATTGTTCCATAAAAGGACTTACTTTCTAAAAATTGTTAAAAAACAGATTGTCTGGAAACAAATCACTGCTAGCTGTGTAGCTAGTACTAATTCAGGGCAAGAGGTGCACTTCAAAACCTTGTGATACTGTCTTAACTTTTTGCAGGTTAAAATGGGAATAATCCTTAGAACTGACAATTTTAATATATGTAACCAAGCAGCTCTGCCCTTTATATTTGCATTTGAGTTTCTGCATTGATAACAATAAACACAGGTAACTCTCTGAACACTGGGAGTACTGGATGGTTGGAAAGCATAAAAGAACTTTGCAACAGGTCAACGCTTCATACGCAGCACATGCACAAGGTTTTGAACTCATAAGGCAGTATTCAGAAGAATTAATAAGTTTACACAGACAAGATGGTTTTCACACTCACATCTCAGTGAAAAAGACCCTCTGAGACAATTATTAGCTTTGATCACTGCTTGTGGACCCAGGTTGGCTGACATGTCTGTTCCAACATAAGGGTGTCTCTAGTCCTCACTCATCAGAATTCTTTTTTTAGGATCTGCATGGTCATGGTGTAGATATATTCTCTTTCAATTAGTTTTTCTTTGATTTTGGATGCCTGAGCAATTGCTACCCGGGAACTCAAAAGCCACTCAAACTTGACAATCTGCACATCTGTGATTGACAATTTCTTACTTTAATCTTCTGTGTGTATGAATGGAACTAACTTTTAAAAGACACAGTAGGCTCTGAATGCAGTAGACCATCTGTGTAAACCACAAGAGCTGCCAACAGCAGAGTACCCCTCCTGCGCTCTGCTTTTTAAATAGGCTCCTTGGGGAATAGCACCTGAGATTTACAATGTCTCAAAGTAGTCTAAGAATCAAAGAAATGGGATGCCCAATAGCGTGATGAGAAATCTCTTAGGCTTTGGTGTTAGGTAGGATGGAGACGATGATGATGGTGACAGTATACTAATGAGGACAACGATGCTGTAGGCTGGGTAAGTTACCTAGAATTCCTTAATTAAAGGTGTCTAAAGCATATAACTAACTTGTCTTGCCTAATTTATTTTCTGATGATTCATATTTGGCTATTTACTTTATCCTTCTGAGACTTTTTGTCCCTAACCTTACCTAGACTCTTGAAAATCCATACTAACTGTAATCATAGCTTGAAATAATTTATGTCTGTGTTTTCTACAACCTTGACCTTTCCTCACAACAAAAATCTGCATAATATTCGGAAGCTAAACTACACTATTATTCAACGTTTAGTCAATTTCCAAAGTGTAAAACTCTTCTTTTTAAAAAACAACATTCTTCAGATCTCATGAATCTCTGAGTCTGAGAAAACATCATGCATTTGTAACATACCAAATTTTCTGTTTTTCATGGACACCATGTAAAACTGAGGGAAATCCAGCAGTTCTGACAGAATTTTACTGAGACAACAGAAAACTCAAATTTAAATTAGCAGCTGTTATTCTATCAAAACCAAAAAAATGTTTGTATGGACCCCTGCAAAGCAAAACTGTCAAGCTTCACATTATTTCAAGGCAATACAGTTTGCTGTAATGAAAAACACAGTTAATACTTTCATATTTCCAAGACCCATCTTACCATATGTTCAAAGATATATTCATTCTCTCCTAATAGTTTTACACTTTCAAAGGACATGGAAGCATATTTTCCTCTAAGTAATGGCAAAATTATACTGTTTCTACCAGATGAAAGAAAGCACATCTGAGGAGTGGAAGAACAAAACACAAAAGCCTAACAAAGAAGCTCATGTGAACCTGTTTGTGTTTTCATATATTTTTTGTCACTGATACTCCGGATCTCAGTACCATTAGCAAAACTCTCATTTATATATGAAAATAAAGCAAGACTCTTTCTGTTAGCAAACACTGTACTGATTCTCAAAAAACACAATGCATCCAGATATTCAGACACAAGCATATCTTAATGGAATTGTTAATTAGAATTGTATTTTTTCTTGTATCTACTAGTCAGAGATGATGGAACAACTTTTTAAGATAGCTTAGAAAGAGGAACAAGAAAGGGCTACACGTGATTTTACCCAAGTTTTGTTAGGGACTTTTTTATTAAAACAACTAGTACATTGTGTGGAATAAATGCATTTTCAATGAAGCAAGACTAATGAAAAAAAGCAAACCAAAAAAAAATCTTTGTTTTTTACATCAAAATCATTCCTATCATTTTGTAAATACCTTCCATGAACTCATCAGCTTCAGCAAGTTCGGAAGCAATTTAAGTTCCTCCATTGCTAAGCCTTTCCAAATCTTCCTTTGTTGATTAGGAAGCTATTTCTGATTTCTAGTTTAAATTTATACACTTGTATTCATTTAATTTTCTGAAAGTACTATCCTTTGGTATTTATGACTTTACATTTATTTACTGAATGTATTTATGAAAAATAATAATACCCTTCTCAACTTTATATTTTGGTAGCCTGAATAAACCAATTCCCTTTAATCTCTTTATAGACGATAAGTCTTCCATTTCCTCTCGTTATACAAGGAGTCCTTCTTTGCTCCTGTTCAGTCTCAGTGGATTTTGTTAGTTTGTTTTAAACACAGATTGCTTAACAGAATATTACTGTATTCCAAACATGCCCCTACTAAAAGCCTTATAAAGCAGTTACACAGTGCCTGGAATATTTCTTCTGGAAATATCCACACTGTGTATTGCAAAAATACCGCCTTTTTCCATAGTTTCAGTTTAACTACAATTTTGCCTATTTAGATTTGTTCTTTCATCACATTAATCTGACTAATTATTTTTGCTTAAAACAAATGTTATGGTATCCATTTCAACATACATGATCTTGTACTGATCTGTCTTATTGCTATCTGTCCTTTGAATATGTACCATATGATAGCCTTGTCTTTCCCCACTGTGGTAGTGAGGTTTGGATTGGTATAGACTCTACTTTACTACATCATCAAGCTCATAGCTCATTAAGGAAAATATTGAACAAAGGTTATGAAAAAAAACCAGCACCCAAAGAAAATAAGAAGTGATTCATCCCCTTCCTCTCTAATTAGTACCAACGAATTATCTTTTTTCTCTTATCCAGCTTTTTATTCACCACACAATAAACTCTGTGCACCCAACTGTCTACACTTCAATAATTACTTGTGGGAATTAAAGTGAAAGTATTTCCTTAAACATAGCTGTACAAAGTTAATGAATTTACCATTTCAAAGGAATGAGTTATCTCAATAGGCATTTGTTAGAAATTACCCTTGATAAAACCACTATAAATTTTAGTTTATGTTCTATCTCCCTCCTTTACATAACAGTCTCAGATGTACACCTGCTATGAACAGGTACTTCCTGGAGTACCCCCCCATCACACATCCTTTTTCAAAAGTAGATTTATTTGTAGCTTTCGATGTCCTGAGTTCAAGTTCCCTCCTAAAAAAACAAACCAA